ACACACACACACAACCACCAGGAAGATTATCATGACACGTTACACATTCATGTACTCACCAGGAGGGCTTCTACCACATGCACACATGAACCCACAATGAGCAATATCCCAAAAGTGGGTACATGAGGATCCTGTCTGTGTGTGTGTGTGTGTGTGTGTGTGTGTGTGTGTGTGTCTGGGGGCTGGGGGCAGTCTTCCTTGTAAGTATGTGTGTTTATGTGGGTGTGGCTAGTGGCAGCCCTCCTGATGGGTATGTGTGGTGTGTATACCAACCTCCTGGTGGGTACACGTGTCTGTCTGTATATGTGGTGACATTTATCTTCACGTGCATGTGTAGATGAATATGTGGTTGGTGGCAGTCCTCCTGGTGGGTACGTGTGTGTCTGTGTGTGGAATACATATATGTTTGTGGGGGGGTACATGTGTATTTGTCGGGGTGGGGAGGGTGGGTTGCTGGTGGTAGTCCTCCGGATGGATATGTGTGCAGGTATGTGTGTATGTCTCTGTGTGTGTGTGGTTAGTGACAGTCTTCCTCATGAGCATTTGTGTGTTTTGTGTTTATGTTATGTGTTGGTGTGTCTGTTGGCTACCTTTGTGTATTTGATTGGTGACAATCTTCCTGGTGGATGTGTGTGTGTGTGTGTGTGTTTGTGTGTGTGTCAGTCTTTTTGATGGGTTGTGTGTTGGCGATTCTCCTTGGATACATGTGTATGACTGTTGGCAATCAATCCTCTTGGTAAGTATGTCTGTGAATCTGTATGTGTTGGCTGTCCTGGTGTATGTGTGTGTTTGGTAAGAATCTTTTGGGTAGGTGTGTGTGTATGTGTGCTCCTGGTGGCAGTCCTTCTAATGGGTGTGGGGGTCTGTGCATGCGCATGTGTGTGTGTCTAGTGGCAGGTCTGTAACTGAGGCGGCCCTTGGGATTCATCCTGTCTCCATGTCTTTCCAGCTACTGGAAGGTTCTGTGGTATAACGGCATTCCATACTTCCCTTTACAGCTGGTAGAAACTTCTGTGACTTCTGGGTGTACTTGACTTATCCCTGTCTTTACAGATGGTAGGAGACTCTGGCACCTTGGTGTCTTTGACGTATCTTTGACTTTACAGATGGTTCTTATTGTGGTCTTTATGGCTGGTTGAAGGTTCTGTGGCATCTTGGTGTCTGTGATGTATCTTCTCTAACAGCTGATGGAAGTTTCTGTGTGCTGCTCGTGTTCTTGATAAGCTTTGAATGAAAATGGTTGAGTTTGAATCCCTGGACTTACCTAGGTTTTCCCTTCTGTTTGGTCCACCTGGCATGCTGGGGCTTCCTTCAACCCCTGGGGTTCTTGAGCTTCAGACTGTTAAAGATCAGAAGAACATGGAGGTGAAGCCAAGGTTCTCACTGGATGGTGACCCTAGTTGGGCCTATTTGGGCACCGGCTGGGAGGTCTTGAATGGGGCCTCCATCACAAATTCTGTGGTCATCGTTGGAAAATGGGCTACAAGTGGGGAGACATACGCTGGCTGAGCACCCTCTGCCCTCTGCCCTGGGCGGGCTCTGGAAGTCAACCTCTGCTTCCTGTATGTTGAAGGGGACAATAGCCCTGCAAACTTGTAGACAGGGCTAGGATCTCCCGCATAGCCTGCTCCTGAGCAGTCAGGTCCCCAGAAAAGGTGAAGGAGGGTCTGATCAGGCAGTGTCTGAGGGCAACCCAGTTAAAGTGAGGCAGATCTGCCCCCCTGCCAGCTCGGGCTCCTTCACTGTGATGCTATCGCTGATGACAAAGGCTCCCTGGGATTCCAGGGCACAGGTAGCCAGTCTAGAGGGGAGGGGACTCTAACATGTACAGGACAATTGTGACCTGTGTAGACAGGCTTGTGGGGTGAGGGGGTGGTGGTAATTGTGAGTTGGGTAGACAGGCTGGGATTCAGGAACATGGGAACTGTGTTAGAAGGGCCTTGTGGCCCCCAGGGGGACCAGCCAACAGGAAGGACACTGTGGTGATGACAAGTCTTCCACCATTCCTTAATCGTGACAACCATAACACAGTTCACGGTTGCTGGGTCGAAGATTATGCAAAGCTGTGCTGACCTAGTATTGCCAGGTGTACTGCTGCCGTATCATAAATGCCACAGAGACTGCCTTTCACTGACACACACTTATTGTCTCACAGTTTAGAAATGAGAAGTCTGGATTCAGGGCCCTGACTCTAGGTCAAGGCTCTGGGGAAGGAAGGCCTTGTCTGTCTGCTCCTTGGCCATGTTCATGTGGCCTGGCATCTCTCTCGTCCCCCTCGCAGTGCTGCGTTTGCATCTGTGCCAGATCTGCTCTTCCGGACTCTCAAATGACTGGTTATGTTCACTGTGTGCCCTCATTAACATAACAAAGACACTCCTCTTCCCGATGGGAGAAGCGTGAGGATTTACAGCACCGGGTTCTTTAGGACACGCTTCTACTCTTACCAGAGGGCTTCCCCACTGGCGTGTGCAGAGGGGGCACCTCAGCACTCCACGGGCTTCCTCTCCCTCTGTGCCTGCTCAGGCCCTTGCCTGACTCACTGAGACTCACTTGCCTTTCCTGGTACTGTGCAGAGCTCTGTGGACATGCCCAAGTTTAGTCCTTCATCTGGAAGACAGAGTCCTTCAGGAGGTGGAGCTTGAAAAAC